TATTATTTTAGTTCTTTTAACCTGGTTGAGGTTTATTTTGTCTATCTTGATGAATGTCCCATGGGTGCTTGGAAAAGTCTATGTTCTGCAATTTTAGGGTAGACTGTTCTGTATATGTGAATTAATCATGTTCATTGTTGGTGTTCAGTTCTTCTAAATCTTTTCTAACTTTCTGGTATTCCTAACAAATGTTAATTATTGTTTTGAAATCTTCACTCACAATTGAAATCCAATTGTGGATTTGTGTATTTCTACTTTTAGCACCATCAGTTCTTTTTTCACATATATTGAAGCACTATTGTTTGGTGCATACATATTTAGTATCACTACATCTTCTTGATGGGCTGGTTCTTTCATCATTGTGTAATAATCTGTTTTGTTCCTAATACAGTAGGTCCAGGAATAATGATTCCTTAAATGTAATTTTCTTACAAGTTGATGAGAAAAATCAGTCCCCACTGAGGTTTAACAAAAAAGGTTATTTAAGGATCTGTTTTTTTTTTTTTTATATAAGATTTATTTTTATTTATTTATTTTATTTATACAAGCACTGGGTACAGTCAGAAGCGCGGGAGGGTGAGAGAATTCACCAGAGCCAGAGCGGGGAGCAGAGCAGGCAGAGGAGCAGAGCAGGCAGAGGACTGAAGTACACTGCTGAGGGGAACAGCGGGCGGCAGGAGAGGTCTGCGCGCCATGTGGGACCCTCCTCCGGTGGCCAGGGAGCAGCCGGGGATCGAACCAGCGCTGCAGAGGCTGCGGGCAGCTTTGCAACCCAGCGTTAAACCGCTGTGCCACCGGGGAGACCCTTAAGTATCTGTTTTAATTGTATTCATTTTTTCATTTAAAGTTAAAGTTTCTAAGAACCTATCGGTCACATTAAGTGGGAACATACTGTATTTTCTTTTAAGTTTACTTTATCTGATACTACTATAATCACTCTGCTTTTTTGGTTTAATAGTAATATGATACGTCTTCTGTTTTTTTCTACTTTCAATTTTATTATGCTCTTATATTTGAAACAAATTTATTCTAGATGCATACAGTAGAGTGATGTGTCATGTTATTTTTATTATGTGCTCTACCAAGAGTCCACTCTTAATTTGTGTATTTAGGCCATTTACATTTAATTAATGTTATGTAGAATTTAAGTGTCATTTTATTATGTTTTCTGTTTCCTTCTATTTCTTCATCCTCTGTTTATTTTGTCTTGGTTTCTTAAGGGTTATGTAAATATTTCTTAGGATTACACTTGGTCTTATTTGTGATTTTTTTAGTACATATTTTGTATTATTTTCTTAGTTATTGCTCTAGATATTACAAATACATAATTAGCACAATCTACTGGTAATGATGTTTTGTCACTTTAAATGAATTATTGTTGCCTTTTATATATATGCTTCTTTACTCTCTCCACTTTTAAAATCTAATTGTCTGGTATTTCCCTACATTGCATAATCACAGATGTTATAATTTTACTTCAACTGTCAGACATGATTTAAGAAACTACTGTGAAGGATAATCTATGATAATCACCCCTAATTTTACCCATTGTTGATCTTTTTGATGTTTTGATTCTTAGCTATTGTTTCCTTTCTGTTTAGAAATCTTCCTTTATTATTTTAATGCTCATATCTGCCAACAGCAAAGTCTTAGTTTTCCTTTGATAACATCTTTATGTTGTTATTAGAGGGATAGTTTTGCTAGATACAGAATTTGGGTTAATACTTCTTTGTTTCAACACTTAAAAAAAAATGTGCTACTTCCTCTGGCTTCCATCATTTCAGAAAAGAAGCCACTGTTCCCCTTAGGTATGTCACGTCTCTCTGTGAGATTCTTTGTCTTTATTTTTCAACAGTTTAATTATCATGTCTCTTGGAGTGGATTTTTTGTACTTAAAGTTTGCTCACTTTCTTATATTTTCACTAACTTTGGAGTTTTTGATTATTATCTTTTAAAATATGTCTTAAGCCCACATTTTGCCCCTTTCTTATTGGATTCTGATGATATAAATCTTAGATCTTTTATACAGTTCCACCGATTCAAGAGGTGTTCATTTTTAAAAATCTAATTTTTATTGTACATATTGAAGAAATTCTTTTGATTTAGCCTCAGATTCAAACATTTTATCTTTTGCTACCTTTATTATGCCCTTTTAGCAAGCTTTGTTATTTTGGTTATTGCATTTCAGCTTGATAATTTCTATTCGGTCCTTTAAAAAATAACTTTTATTTTTTTATTGGGGTTTCCTACTTTTTCATCTGTTTTAAAGAATTTTTAATCCTTGAAGCAGCTTTGTGAGGACTGCTGTAAATTTCTGTCAGATAATTTCAACATCTGATTAATCTGTTTGGTATTTGTTGTTGCTGCTCTTCTCTCTGTTAAATTGTGATTATCTTGATATTGGGAAAAACCAGTGTTTTTCCACTAGTAACAGACATTTTGAATATTATGTTAGGAGACTTTTGATCTTTTTAAAGGCTCAAATTTGACAGTTTAACTTCTGGGTTCTGTTGACCCTTTAGGTTCAGTTGGCTTCCTTGCAGGCAACTGTGTTACCTAATGTTACCAACAAATGTGTGGTATGGGATGGATTGATTCTCTTGGCGCTCTCTGTACTGAAGATGTTGTCATCAGTGTTTGGGTCACCACTGCCAGTTGGTACACATTTCCTCCCTAGTCCTCATTATGCTTCTCATTTTCACTCCATTAGCCAGAGAAATCAGGTTGTTCTTGTTTCCTCTTTGTCCACCTTCCCTTCCCCCAGCTTTTCTAGTGACTGCAGGGTTGGCTGCTGGTGTGTGTTATTTATGGGGGTAAAAATGAGAGAATTATTATTGATTTGTCACATTTAGTTATGATGCTGAGAGATGTATTAAGATGTTAACTGCTGTCTCCAGTATTCATACTGAGAGCAGGCTTCAATTTTGATCCAAATTCTGGTAATACGTCTAGGACCACACAGTTTTTATTTGATTTGATCGTAGCCCAGATAACTTTATATACCTGTCTCTTGTCATGCCATTGACCATGTAGTTTTATCTTTAAAAAAAAATTAATTTTAAGCGATTATCACATCTGAACATACTATCCTCCTTATAAGAAAATGTTAAAAATTTTTGTTAGACTTAGAATTTCCTTTGACTACTACCTATAGTCTATTCCCTTCCAAGTAGATGAGCACAATTGCAATTTGACTGTTTATCTTATACACATTTTTATATTTACATACAAAAATTATATTAGAGATTTTATGATACTTTTCATGTGTTTTTAAAAAGTTTTTTAATAAAATATATTTTTTCTACTTTTTTTTCATGCAGCAGTTTCTCTTTCTACTTTGGCACCCAAGTGTTTATTCTTTTTCTTTTAAATTGTAATGGTAACTACCATAAAATGGATACAATTTTATGTACCATTGTTTTTGCTATTATAAACAATGGTGTAATGAATATCTTTTTGATTGCTGCATAGTGCTGACCCCAGGAAATAGAATTGCTGGATTACAGGGACACAGTTGTTTTAAATTTCAAAGACAATCCAGTTTGCCTTTCCAGATAGCTAGCTATACCAATTTATATTCCTACCACCTGTACATGCAAGTATCTATGTTTTGTCATCATCAATCCTGAATAAAATTAACCTTAACATTATTTTTGTCAACCTGAATAAAACTATGCTTTTTATTTTTCTTGGTTCCTGGTATGATAATGTCTTTTCCTGTCTTTTCGGCTCATTTCACTTATACTTACATACCATGATTTATTAGTTAAAATGTATTAGTTAAGATTTGGAAAGCATCTAAATCATCTTACTAGTTGTATGTTGAGGATTTTATATATTTCTGAATTCTTGACCTTTTGCTAATATGGACACCAATCGCTAAAAAGTTCTTTGTTTACTCTTCTTTGTATTTAAATATTGGATTTTCCATTTTTGAGATAGCTGCCATGATCCTAGCATGGCACGCCTAGCAGGCATGATTATTTTCCAGGATTCAATATGTTGAACCAGCTGGGTGGTTTGTCAGTTTATGATAACCTTCATTCCTTTCCTGGCGAGATGTAGAATAAGCAAAGCAGTGTTCATTCCATTTTATGAAAAGTATGCTAAAGTAGGCATCCTTTAGTTAGAGTTTTGGAACCCAAAATGACTAGTAAAGTGACACTTTTTTTTTAAGATCCCATGTCTTTGGTCAAAATTTTTGTGACTGCATGAAGGTGGAGTGGATGAAGATGGGGTGTTTTGTTTTAAAGGATTACATTTCTCAGCTAAGCCTGGACAAATCTACAACCTTGAATCAAATAGTCCTATAATTGTAAATGTTTTTATTTTTGCAAACTTTTAAATGGGAGAAGAAAAGGAGGTAGTTAAATCTTAGTGAATTTTGTTTTATCTTATAGCTGTGTTGCATTTAGTTCCATGATATCAATAACCATATCTGAACAATTAATGTTTAATTACCAGTGCCTTTCTTTTTCTGTACAATGTAATTATGTAGACTCTCCTGCTTTGCATTGACATTATAAGAGAAAAAGATTAATATTAGGAAATGAAATCCCTATTAGCAAATTCAGTATTGGTTATTATACATTCATATGTGCTATTTTGTATTTTAAATATGCTTGAGTATTATGTATGGTTTATCAGTATGTTGGAACTGCACATAGTTTCGATTTCCCAGTAAGACACAAGGCTGAGTCAGTACAGTTTTACATATGTCAGATACAAGATCCTACTTAAGGTTTTAAAATAGGGATTTTTTCATAAGTAACATGTAAGTAGTGTCATCAGTGAATTCCTTAATATTCTTTTTGGATATTAGGTACGTGTTTTCTGTATAGCTCTTTTTTAACTTCCTTTAGCTTCTAAATCATTATATTTCCATGTTAAATTGTTAAGTCATTTTGTGGGCTGAAGGAAAAATAGAAGTTCATTTGCTTTCATAAAATAAATGATACTGACTTTAGAAGCACATGAAATGATGTCAAAATTTTTTTCAGTTCATCCAGAGCAGCTTCCTCCGAGGCCATGGATTACATTAAAAGAACGAGACCAAATTCTGCCATCAGGTAAGTAGTTTTTCTTATTCTTCCTTGACTTCTTTCAGAAATACCTGAAATACCATTTTGACTTAGTGATAAACTTGTCTTCATTTTACAAAACTCCTCTATGTAGATGACTTTAAAAATACCGACATAGACTTTTAAACATAAATTTACATTAAGACTTGGGTACAAGAATCAAATGTACCTTGTAACACAGCCTGTAAAATGGCATTTTTACACAGGGTAGTAATGGTTGAGTTCAGGAAAATGAGTAATAATGAATTTTCTTTTGAAAAAGAAACTAGGATGCTTTATCCTTCTTGAGTAGGTAGATTGATAACACTTCTAAAGGAATAATTTAGTCTGCATCTACATATGCTATTGGTATATTGTAAACAAAAAGAACACAAGGACTATAGTGTTGTTACGGTGGTGGGAGAACTATGGGCACTACACCTGAGGGGAATAACCAGATACTGTACAAAAATGAACAATTGTATAAGAGAATAAACAAATTTAGGGGGAAAAATGTGATGTCATACCAGAGGTGTAGAAATGGTGTAGGTTGAATATTTGAGAAATTTAAGGATATGGCTTAAGCATTTCTAGAACTGCGGTAATATAGAAATAAAAATTTTTATCTCGTCTTGACAACCAATAATGACTTGACATTATTTGTATATCTCTTCACTGCCTATTAAATGTTTTATGATTGGGAATTCTATTTAAAATAGACATGCCAGATATCTTATTTTATGTCCTAAGAGTAATGATTTTCCATTTTTAAATTAGCATATGAAAAATTTTACTCTTTTAATATGAAGGTTAAACCAATTACTGAATATTAACGTTTTAATAATTTTTGAAGGGTAAATCACAAATTTGTTGTTTTTTTTTTTTTAAACCACTTTGTGGGTTTTTTTTTTAATTAAGAGGATTAAGAAAAAAATCAGTCGCTTTGGTATTGGGAAATGTAGCATCTTATATTTCTATTTGCACTTTAAAAACACTGAGAAATATTATATACATATACTTCAGTGTTTTCCAGGGCTACTCATTTTAAAACCACCACACCTCTAGAACCGTAGTATCAGTACATTTAAGATGCACTGTGTCAGTGTTATCATGAATTATATTTCTATTTTCTCATACACATTGATGGTCTGAGTAAAACCTCAGATTTTCTGCAAGGCCTAAAGTTAGGCAGATTTATTTTAGGTGTGGCCTTCCCCATTGTATAAATTGATCTTTTTGATAATACAAAACTCCATTTTCTATTTCTTTGAGTAATTTCTTTGAGCATGAATGAACATAATCATGAGAAGAGTTTTCCTTATACTGCATACCTACATTTCCATTAAGAAAAGGAACAATAAAAACAAATTTTCATTAGTTGTTGAATTCTCAAAGGAATGTGTTATTAGGTCTTTATTGAAAAACCAGTATGGTTCTTTTTCTTGGGAATGTGTGGCACTTCCCTTAGTGGAATCTGAGTGTTAAAAAAAGTAGATGCTAAGATGCCTTCACTTCTGGTGGCTAGGGAAATGTGTATAACTAACGGTGGTTAAGGATGACTTATATCCACAGAAGCATAATTTAACTACATTAGACTTAATCCTAGATAGTGAAAAAACTACTGTTGTTTAAAATGCCCAATAATCTCTCCAATAGACTAGTGAACTGTTTCTCTTAAAAACTGTTCACTTTCTGAAATGGAATCAACTTTAATCAAGTGTTACTTTATTATTTGAATGCTTTGCCTTTTATTTAAATATGTGATTTTCAATCTTGATTGCCCATTATAATCACATGGGATGTTTCTTAAAAATATGGACACACACACACACACACACACACACACACACAGGCTTACTGACTTAGTCTGCAGTAAGTCCATAGGTGGTGTCTGCAAGCAATTTTTTTTTTAAAGTTCTACAAAGTAATTCTAATGGAAAGCCACAATAGAGAATTAATGTTGCAGGTGGGGGGGGGTGTACTGACAGGGCTTTTCAAACTGATATTCCATGTGCATATGAATCACTTGGGGATTTTGTTAAATTGTTAGGTTCTGAATTAGCAGATCTTGGCAGAATCAGAGTTTTCTGCATTTCTAACTTCATAGGTGATAACTCATGATTTTTGGTCCTAAGAGCACACTTTGGAGTAGCATGAAACAAACCATGGCCTTCTGACTATTAATTTGCTCACAATCCCTTTGTAGGGAGAATTTAATTTCAGAAATAAACTTGTGATTTGGTATAAAGGATTCTGTTATTACTAAACTTTGTTAGTCCATGTTCTTTTTTCAGTTCAGATTAGTGAAAGTAAGAGGCTCAAAAAAGTGTGGATATTTTGTAAGGATGAATAAAATTAGAATCTTTAAATGGCAGTGAAACTAAAATTTTTTTGTTCCATTTTTACAGAGAAGCCTTCCCCGCAGTAAAGTAACATTCTGATTTTAAATTTAAATTTTTATTAAATAAATTTCCTAAAATGTTCATATATAAAGTTAGCTTTATTTTCTTTTGAAGATATTTATATTTATTTTTGTGAAGAAGAGCTGGAGTGTAGACAATGGGTGAGAGGAGTCACCAGAGACAGAATGGAGAGCAGAACAGGCAGATTGACTGAAATACACTGCTAAGGGGTACAGTGGGCAGACAGGAAAGGTCTGCTATGCCAGATGTGGGTTAGCTCCCTGGTCAGGAATTGAACTCGGGCCATAGCAGTGATAGTGCTGAGACTTAACCCATGTTAGTTTAATTCTTGTAAAAGGACAATGGTGTGATAGAATCAATGAAGTGTTTTAATGAATGTAGTTTAACAAAATCTTGCCAAGGCGTTTTATAGTAATGATATTTGGGATACGCTTTGTGCCATGTGTGCTTGTGCAAGTGTGCACATGATATTGCTTTAGAAAAACCTGCCTAATTTTCTCCCTTTTGTCTGTTTTCTTCCCCCCCACTTCTTAGCATCATTCACAGTTATGTGTTACAATGTGTTATGTGATAAATACGCCACCCGGCAGCTATATGGCTATTGCCCATCCTGGGCATTAAACTGGGAATACAGGAAAAAGGGAATTATGGAAGAAATTGTTAACTGTGACGCAGATATCATTAGTCTTCAGGTAACACTCGAGAAATTAAATTGTCTTTAATATAAAGGTGAACTTAAAAATAACAGAAGCTTTTACCTCTACTAGAATTCCTATTTTCAAAGCAAAACTCAAAGGGAAATGTTTTTTCTCCTCTTAAAAACAAAAAGGACAAAAGGGCAATTTTAATAAGCACTTAAGACATTTTCACAGTGAAACTATTTTACTAAGTATAACCACCACTTACACTCATTTACTATTTCTTAAGTGAAAATAACGTCATCCATTATTTACTATTTCTTAAGTGAAAATAACGTCATCCATTATTCATGTTAATCATTCTTGTCACCAACAAATCATTGGTATGGCTGAAATAGAAAACTGCAGAAGTGTATCTTTGAGGAACATAATTTAACTTACAATGAAATCTGTAAAAAATTGTCTGCTATTATTTCTTAGTGATAAACATTTTAAAAATTAAAAATTATTGTACTACAAGTCATTTTTGCCTTACTTTAAAAACCACCTCTGCAATTTCAATTCTTCAGTTTTATAACATTTTATTATAATGAATTTAACTGAAGAATAATCTTTCCATTGAAATGTATGCCTTACTGCTTCTTTTCAACACTGCTAATAATCAAGAGAGTTCACGGGTAATTTAAAAAAAATTTTTTCTAAACTTCCAAGCATATTAAACACTTAACAGTGTTTTAAAAATTTAAAGATTATAATTTTACATTACCTTTTCAGCATAACTTGAGAAGCTACTGCTTTTTAAATTATTTTTTTGGTACTAAAGTACATTGATAATTATTTTAATGTTGTCAGTGATTCACATGACTTCCTGGGAAATAATAAGAAGTAAAAACTTCAAAAATTAAATTTTATTTTGAACACTGAGAACTGACACAGGACTAGAGGGGAAAAAGGGCAAACAAAATTAGGGGTGTTTTAGTTGCTTAGTTGTCTGCCTTTTGGTTTAGTATTTGTGGTACTAATAGCCTCATACTCTTTTCAGTATAGTTTGGAGATAGAAACATAATTTAAAAAATTTTCTTATTATAAAGGTAATATAAAGTTTTCATTCTAGAGACATTGAAAATTTTGGAAAACTATAAATAATGATGTGGGAAAACACCCAATTTTATATTCCAAACGTGGTTGCTGACTTAAAACTTATGAAATATTTCTGGTGCACATTGTTAATATACTTATCTGTTTATTTGAAGATAGATTTTCAAAATAAAATTGGGATCACAATGTTGACATATTTCTTGCTTATTGCATATTACGTACTTTCCACATTCCAAAAATTCTTCAAAGACAATTATGTGAATTTATATTGATTTTAACATTTTTCCTAATTTGGACATTTAGGTTGTTTGAGTTTTTGCTGTTAAAAAAAATCATGTTATGAGTATGCTGATTTTACTCTTGATTATTTCAGATTTGTTAAAAATATTTTATGGGTCAAAGAATAAAATGGTCTTAACCTAATGATTGCTAAATTAATAGACTTTTGTATAATTGGTCTTCAGATATCTAAAAATTTCTTAAAGTAGAAGTTTTTGTTGATCTTAAACTTGTTGCTTTTGGGTCTCATTCCTTTTCACCTCAATTGAGAAAGATAAATATTCTTTAAGATTTCTACTTTATATATACAATTTACTATTCCCTACCACTTAATCTACTATATCACCAAGTTTTTTTAAATTTATCAATCTTAAGGAAGTGAACTATAATGAAATGAATCCTAAAATGGTAGTGAAGAGATTTGGGACTAATTAGCTCTGTGAGCAGGAGAAAATCACAAAACATTTCTGATTCTTTTAGGTATAAAAAGCTGCCATTGTGAAATGGCAGCTACTAACATAAAGGTAAGATAGTTAGATAATACTTGTTGTGTGAATTATTTTAACTTAGTCATGTTACTCATAATGCTAAATTTTTTTTAATCTTAATCAGAGTTTTCCTCTGTTATGTTGATAACTTTCCTTTCACCTCAGGAAGTGGAAACAGAGCAATACTTCACTCTCTTTCTGCCAGCATTGAAGGAGCGTGGATATGATGGATTTTTTTCTCCAAAGTCACGTGCCAAAATCATGTCTGAGCAGGAGAGAAAGCATGTGGACGGTTGTGCAATATTCTTCAAAACAGAAAAGTGAGTTCAGGAGTTAAAGAAACAAAACATAATAGTGTAAACGTTTTCTTTAATTTGTTTACATGTCAGGTCTTTTATTTATATGGATTATTGTATTTTTAAGTCAACCCTCAGAGGTAAGACTAGAGCTATTTCTTCATTTTTTTAGACTGAGGAAACCAAGGCACCGAGTCTTGCTTTATAATCAATGCTTTTAACCACTATACTAAACTGACTCTCTACACTTCTTGTTTGAGCTTTAGTATTACTTGTATACCTTACAAGTTTACCTCATTTGGAAAAATTTTCTTCAATATATTTGTTGCCTACATTGATATGCAAATTTCAAAAACACCTTAATTATAAATTACATATGTTGATAACATTGAGGTGTATAGCATCAAGACCTTTTTCCATATCCTATTGTTTCTTTCTGAAGGAAGACATTTAGAAAATTCTTTTGCATTCCCTTTAGTTTTGAGAAGAAAATCTGAAATTTTCCTCGATAATTCTAGAGCTAGTCAGGGTTTTGAACTAATAATTATATCTCTTATCTAGAGAACTTATCTAGGGAAATCTAGTAGTATTTAAAAATTGCTTGACTTACTAAAAATACAGTAAAATAGTTGAGAGATGACTATATATAGGAAATACTCAGATGCATCATTTGAAAATTCTTCCCTTCTTCCACTGTTTGCCTTAGTAGTAATTTGATCTACAAACAGATAGACTTGGGTGTGATACATTATTAATTTTACTGTTTTGAATAGTACCAAATACTTGCTGAAGTCATCTTAGCTATGCCAAAGTATTTGGAATTTAACACAAAGTACACTACCCTGCCTTTATTCTTTTTTCAGATCGGAGAGATAATACATTGCAAAGAAAAGATAGTTTTGAAGTCAAGTGTTTCTCCTACTTATGTAGCTGTAAAATCTTGAGTGAGTCACTTTTCAGGCTTATTTCCTCATATATATATATATATATATATATATATATATATATATATATATGTTTGTATATTACCTAGTTTGGTAATTTCCTTTATGTAAATTTCTTTATATAGTTTACAAAACTAACAAAGTCAAAAGATAGCTATAGAAGAGTACTTCAGTTCTCTCTGTACTCTCAAAATTTCAGTCTTCTAAAATCAGAGTGTTTGATAATTACTAATCCTCATAGGTGATTAGCTTTTCCCTTCTTGGTAAGTAGTGGTACAGAGTAGGTAATAATAACTGCAAAGTAGACTATTTTTAGCCAAATATAATAATTTTCTATCCATTTCTATGAAAGGACTAAGGACTACGACATATTAAGAGAATTAGAATATGATAACATATTAATTCATTATGTATTCGTTGAAGCTTAATTTGCTCTTTATGCACTTTAGGGAATTTCACGATTTGACAATACCTTTTGGTCATCATTCTGAATGTCATTTGTTTTAATAGTTAGATGCATAGAAATACTGGGAAATAGAAGTTTCAGTTGATAAAATTCCAGAAATGAGTTTTTGCTTTATTCTTTATCTCAATAAATACTATCTTCTGTCCAAAGTATTTTATAAAATATGTATATACATGTGTTATATACTGCATGTTTGTTTATAGAGAAATTATTATTACAGCTAAATTTTTTAGATTCAGACATTTAAGGGTTTTTTGTCATGTTTTTTTCCTAATTGACTTAAAAGTAGAAATGGTGTCTTGAAGCCAGGTACATAATTTGGAAAAAATCCATAATGAAAAAATAGAGGTAAAATCAGGCCTAACTACAAGACTTGTTCCTGAGGTTAGTTCTGATCTCATCGTCCTTTGTGTCAAGTAAGTGAGAAAGCAAAAGATGAAAACAGTAGCTTTAGAACTGTGTGATCATCACACAGTGAAGAGACACTCTTTTCCCATAGGAGTGGGAAGTAGGTTGTCATGGTGCTCAATCCTTCTGTATTGCCCTTGCTTTATAATCCTATCTCATTAGTGTCTGTTATTTATTTACTGTCATAGGGTAATGGTTGGTATCTAGAATTTGTCTATATAATTTTTTTAAAAAGTGAGATTGTGACTTACGATTTTTAAAACTCACTTCCCCTTTATTTAATCTGGAACATGAAATTACTGCCTTTTGCCAGTTTTCTTTCCAATATGGATTATAACTGTTTAATCTAAATTCAGAGGTTTCGGGCCTCCCCTGGTGGTGCAGCAGTTGAGCGCTGGGCTGTGAAGCTGCCGGCAGCCTCTGCAGCGCCGGTTCGATCCCTGGCTGCTGTGTGAGGGTCCCACATGGCGCACAGACCTCTCCTGCTGCCTGCTACTCCCCTCAGCAGTGTGTTTTGTCAGTCTGCCTGTTCTGTTCCCCGCTCTGGCTCTGGTGAATCCTCTCACCCTCCCGCGCTTCTGACTGTATACCAAGTGCTTGAATAAATCTTTAAATAAATAAATAAAAAAAAATACAGAGGTTTCTTAAGGGCAGTGCAGTCATAAAATATGCCAATGAGGAAGAAAATTGGATGAATAATGGGAGTTACCTAATAAACTCTAATTGTTCAGGATTCATTTTAGAAGGAATTCATTTTTTTGTCATTAAAAAGAGTAACCTAGCATGTATTTTTTTAAAAAATAACAAACATACGATCTTTATCAGGAAAATTTAAGAAAAAAGCAAAGTTTGATCAAAGTATCAAGGCAACAAAGAGTATATTTTTAATAACATTGTGCATTATAAAGAAGGGATACACCCATTGTGCATTGTGTGTAATCACTAATTGATTATTGAAGAGGGAAAAAACTATACAACTTTTCTTTTAAAAAAAAAAAAAAGATTATTTATTTATACAAGCGCTGGGTATAGTCAGAAGCGCAGGAGGGTGAGAGAATTCACCAGAGACAGAGCAGGGAACAGAACAGGCAGACTGACGAAATACACTGCTGAGGGGAGCAGCGGGCGCTGCAGGAGAGGTCTGCACGCCATGTGGGACCCTCGCCGGCAGCCAGGATCGAACCGGCAGCCCAGCGCTCAACTGCTGCGCCACCAGGGGAGGCCCCTATACAACTTTTATTTTGCTTTCACGATCTCTGTTGAGAAGCATTATCTTCAAAGCAGAAAGAGTTAACTAAAACCAGGTGAAGAAATTGGCAAGCTGAGAAGATGAGATTGGTAAACCAAGAGTGTCACTTAACTGCATTAACTAGTTACTTAGGTTTCCAAATCAAGATAATTATATCCTATTATACTAAAAGATCTTGCAAAAGTGTAATTAGAGAACTGACTTGGGTGATCTATTACTGATATTTGAATATAGAGGAAGTTGTAGTATATCAAATGAACCATCAGTTTTCCAAAAAGAAATATTCCCCAAGCCTTAGTTTTCCTCATCTTCATAGCAGTAGGATAATGCAGCCTATTGCAATTTGGGTTCTCTATCCAGTAAGGAAAGAAGACTGAGTTTAGTTTGGTGTTCAGGAGTTTATTAGAGAGCAACACTTGTGAAAGAAATTGGAAAGGAGCAGTACTGGGTATAGAGAGGAGAACTGTGTTGCAAGCCTAACAGCCTCAACTGATCTTATTGGTAGCATTGGAGTCCGTGAAAGTTAACTCACAGGGACCAAAATCTCAAGATCTTAACTTTTGCTTTTGAGCTGTAATTGGATGTAGGCCACTCCCAAAAGTACTGGACATTGAGGAAAGCAACTCTCTGCAACTGGAGCAGTCCCTAAAGGATTGATGAGGAATCTAGCACTATATCACTCTGTCCACCCTTTTACAGGTGTCCTGTAAATTTTAGGACAAATGTGTATGATGTACCTATCATAGACCTTGAGTAGATCCTCAATAATGGGCCACTATTATTATTTTTTATTATTTGTTCTATCCTGTTAAGAACTTTGATTATTTCAGAGAAAACAGAATGCACACACACACACACACACAAAAGACTTAAAATCAAAACTCTGGCCAGGGATATTTAATCTTTTGGAAAAATAGGATGAACATTTACCTGGTTTTTTAAGCATTTGTAAATGCAGGACTGAAGAGACCAGATCCAGTTTAAAGTGCAAAAAAGACCAAAAAGTTTTAGTTTATATTAATTATTATTGGGCTTGTAATTAATATTGCCATCCCCAGAATGCATTTACAGTCTTCACAAAAATATATTCTAAAATGAAGGCAGTAGTTCATTTATGGCCTATTCTAGGTACTGTATCTTTGGGTAAACTTGAGTTCTTCATGTGATATAAGGAATTGATCTTTTCTTTTCTGGAGAAGACTTGGGAATGGTATTTAAAGTAGTGTCAAGTGGAAGAGGTATATTATATTCCTTTAAAGAAAAGATTTAGATCTAGATCTAGGAAGAATGAAGGAATCTAATGAAAGATCTATATTGAATGGAAGAAAGATAGAGAGAAACAAATTTTAGTTAGGGCGTACATTTCCGATAATTAGAACACCTTTTCTCTCCCAAAGAATGTCTTGATTTTGGAAGAAGTAAAATATTTCAGTACTAAAAATATTTTAAGCAGGATTTTCAGTCTCTCCTACAGAATCCGAGGGTCCTATGGAAATTATCGATACATTATTTAAAAGTAATTTTAAAATAACATATTTGCTCAAACATCCAATTTTAAACACTTTTGGAAATCAGTAACATGTTGCTCATGTACTGTTTAGTTAGTTTTGGTGTATATCTCTGAATCAAATTTTTGTCCCCTTGTTTGCTTTTTCTGAGGGCATTGCCAGTTTTCGATCTTGTATCTGTGAGTTTTTGTGAATCAGGTTCTTTATTACTACTTTGTAACCAAAAGAATATGATTAAGTAAGTTGGGTACTGTGACTGATAGAATACTATTATTATCTATACCCTCTGATTTCAAATTTTTATAGTAATTGTTTTCCGCGGTTGATTCAGTAAAACATAATACTGTTTTGATTTTTTTTGTATGTGGTCATCTAACAAATTGTTTTATGAAAAGTATTCTACTTAAAGTTATTTGTAAACATCTGATAAGGAAAATAGTCAATTCTACTTATAGAACACAATCTGAATCTGCCTACTTTATTTCTTCTGCCTTAGTCCAAGACACTATTACCTGTTTTCCAAATAACTCAAAAACTTTCCAACTGGACTCCTAAGTCCCACTTTGGCTCCTGTAATCCATTTTCACTCTTACTTCTGTAAGAGTGATTTTAAAAATTATAAATCAAATGATATCATGTCCTTACTTAGAACTGTCAATGGTTTTCTCTTTCTTACATTTCCAACATTTTGTCCCCTTCCTTTTCTAATCCATAAGCATACAAAGCTCTTTGCTTTCTCAGGACCTTTCATTTCTTCCTCTTTCTGGAATGCCCTAATCCCATTCTTCACCACAGTAACTCCTCATTCTTCATGTTTCAGTTTAAAGGTTATCTCTTTAGGGTAGAGAATAGAAACTGTATACCTTTTGGTCATTTTGATTTAGAAGTAGGCATATTACCAGACCATTTATTCCTGTCAGCACTTACAAAATACTTGCAATTGGACAGAGGGGGTGTTATTTCATTTAGCATGCTATCCTGCAGCATAGTAAGATTTTAGTCAATATTTTTTAGGAGATGTGTGCATGTGTTTCAAAGCTAGGAGGAAGATGGGGTGGAGGCTTGTTGTAAGAATAAAGATGTCTTTTCCATTTAACAGTGAGTGAAAAGCAGACAATAAATTTAGTAGGTTTTGGACATAAATAAATGTTTCACAAACTAAATAAAATTAGTCTGAAAGTGGCTAAATAACTTGACCAAGTTCACACTGCTATTAAATATCACTGCTGGACTCAATTCTATTAAATCCTTATAACTGCAATACTTAATTTTTTATTTATGCATACAAGAACTAGGGTGTAGGCCAGAGGCGGGGGTGGGGGGCGGTGAAAGGATTCACCAGAGACAGAGTGGGGAGCAGAACAGGCAGATCTACTGAAGTACACTGCTGAGGGGAGCAGTGGGTGAGACAGGAGAGGTTTGAGTGCCATGTGGGTAGCTCCCTGGCTGGGTATTGAACTCATACCACTGTGGCTGGTGATAGCTTGATACCACTGAGATTTTAATCCCTGTGCCACTGGGGATGCCCTGCAATACTTAATTTGACACTAGGGAGAAAATACTATTTGTGTAAACTCTGTAATCACAGGGAGAACCTGAGAAGAACAGAACATGTTCGTCTGAACATTCACATACACCAGTTCCAGCTTTCTAGAGTAAAAGTCCAATGTGAAACTTGGTCATTCCTTTGCTGAGATTAGGGTGTGTCCTTTTATTTTCTTAACAAATCTCTTGATAAAGTGAGGAAAATACTGCAAATGAGATGAGTAGATTTTATTCTCTCTTCGCTCATTAACTTGCTGATTCAGTTAAAATGGTATTCACTATTAAATACCAGAAAATCCCAACAGTAAATAAGTGAGAGAGGAGTCATTTTCTTACAAGAAGTCCAGAAATGGTTAAACTGCTTTCCCATCTAAAGTGGGTTGACTTTTGTCCTCCTGCTTCTTCACCATATGGACAAAGGTGTAAAAGGGCAAAGGGATATATTATGTATGCTATCTTTGATAGGTGGTTCTTCCAAGATTGTTTTTAGAGTAATCAGACTTTTTCAGTCTTATTGGTCAGAACTATGTCATGTTGCCCCTTTCAGCTAGAAAATGGCTAAAGACGGTGTGGTGTCTTTATTTTGTTCTCCCTTATTGTCTTTTAGCATGATAGTAGAAGAGTCTAATACCGCGCTAATAATGCATTGTACTTTTTAGATTTACATTGGTGCAGAAGCATACAGTGGAATTTAACCAAGTGGCAATGGCTAATTCAGATGGATCCGAAGCTATGTTGAACAGAGTGATGACAAAAGATAATATTGGTGTTGCTGTGGTATTAGAGGTCCACAAAGAACTATTTGGAGCAGGTGAGTGCAGTTTAAAGTATTCTCATTAAAAATAAATAACATCCCACATTTTTCCATCTCAAACAAGTGCAAAGACTCTTTGCTGTTATCTATTGCAGTTATTTTCTTGTCTTTAGAGGAAAGTTACGGGACATGGTCAGGAAATACATTAGTTGTATAAAGCATCGTGTATTTCTTGAGATACTACTTACCAATTCATCTATAACAGGAAAGTCTTTAATATGCCATTAATTCCAAAAGGTTATTTTAAATAGGAAATGTTTTAGTTAGGCTGAATTTGGAAATTAGGATGAATTGGTTCTCTTTTTAGCCATATTTTTAGCTTCTTGAATGTGAAATCTTTTGTCTTTAAGGTTAAGTACTTGGCACGTTTTCTCTAATTTCTTTGTTATATCTCAGTCATTGTCAGGTAGGAGTGGGAACTTTTATCTACCTGGTACTTTTCTTTCTCGTGTTTTAGATTATTTATAGCTTCCTTCAAAGTCAGAAACTCATTATGTACTTTGCATATTCAGAGCTTTATTTCCTTCTCTCCCCCTTTCTACTGCCTGCCTTTGAGAATTTCATTGTTTACCTAATTATATTTTAGGCAAGACCAAGAAAAAGGTGTAAGACCACATCAGGGCTTTTACTTTTTTACTTTTTTTTTACCTTCTGTATTTATTAGCTGTGGAAGAAAAGATTTTTGTCTTGTGCATTGATTTGAATTCTTCAGACCATATCAGTCATATCTCCTTTTCACCATTCTTTAATTCATCCATCATCAAAGACAGTTTTTGATAAAAGATTTAAAATTTTTCTTTCTTTTTTTTTTTTTCAGGCATTCCTTTTTATCTACCTTTTGTCCTTTCCAGTCTCACTCTTCTTAAAAGTTTGGTACTTTTTCCCCTTGGTAATCTGAAAATTTAATTTCTTCTGGAGTATTACTCTACTTTTAAATTAAAAATTATATAATAGTGATTATAAATTATATAATAGGCACTCTCACTTTCTGAAATCTATCTATACTCTTAGAAGAAGAGTTTAATATTATAATAGGTAGTTTATGGCCTCTTTGAAGGGGCAGGTTTTTAGCATTTAGTACATTGAACATTTAATCTACTGTCAAAAGTGACACTAAAACTTTTAGAAAAAGAAGACAGTTTAGACAATTTTGGCTGTAAGCTTTTATTTTAAAATCAAAGTTGCTTTAAAAAAAATGACTGTCACTTAAAACAGATACTTTAGTTAAGTGTTTACTCAACATTGAAGATAATTATAGTAGGACAGAATAAAGCTTTCCCAAAATAGTAGACTTAGAAAATTAGGTATTTTCCTGCTTATATTTTTATATAGTTATTATTTTCAGTAGAAAAATATAAGACACTTACAAAAAAATTTCAGTAGAAAAATTATTTTTTTAGGTTTTACTAATATCTAATAGTACAAAGGTATTTAAAATAAAAAGAATTCCCTCATCTTTCAAGGGGTAACTGTTGTTCATTCCTTAACATATTAATAACATGCAGAATATGTGTGTCTAATTTTATTTAAATGTCATCATACCATGTATATTGGTTTTGTCTCTTCAGTGTTTTGTAGACATCTTCCTCTGTCAATACATGTTAACTAAGTTTAATTTTCACAGTTTTTAATGTATAATCTTGTATGCCATTTTGAGATTTTTATACATATATAACGTGTGTGTGTGTGTGTGTGTTTGCCAGAATGATAAAATTAGGGGAAAAAGAAATTCATATTTTCTAGTTAAATATCTCTCATTATCCAATATCAACACCAAAAAGCTTAAGTGACTGGCCCAAGACACACAAAATAATAATGAGGCTGGGTCTAAAATACGAGCATCTAGTCTTGAAAAGAACACTACTTCCTAACTCTCATTTTAAAAATTTCTTCATCCAAGTATATGATTTGAATTTATTTTGGTGGCAAATTTACTTTATTTTGTATAGGTTAATATATTTTCCCAACATTTTGTTACTGACTAGTCACTGATATGTCAGGATGTGCAAAGTGAATGAGTATTAGGAAATGGGAAAAACTTAAATTAAGCTAATTTAGGTGACTCATACAACTGAAATCCTATCTCAGTAGGTTTTTGTGATATTTAAGGGACAGATATATTTAATGTGCTTATTTATACCAACAACTGAGCAAATCAAGGTAGTATAATCAAATGTTGGTTTTATCATGGTATAATTTCTAACTTGGATGTATAGAGCAGGTGTCAGTAAACCAGACATGACTCTGGGGCCACATATGGTTTCTGTCATGCTTAATTTTTTTTCCTTGTAGAATCTTTGAAAGTGTAAGACCAGCTTTAGCTCATATAGTCTGTACAAAAACAGGTGGTGGGCCAGATTTAGCCCAAGACTGCTGTTTGCTGACCCCAGTCTACACGAGTAATTCCTATCTTTGGATTACCAGAATCTGAACAATTTAGCTTCTAAGAACTACTTCATGAGATAAAAGGAAAGATATAAATTAAAGAGAGTAAAGAACTGGGCTTTGAGGAGAAAACTTTAAGATAACTGCTTTTAATACCTTGCCTTTTTTCTAATGTTTAAATTTAGGTATGAAGCCTATTCATGCTGCAGACAAACAGCTGCTTATAGTGGCAAATGCCCACATGCATTGGGACCCAGAGTATTCTGATGTGAAACTCATCCAGACCATGATGTTTGTCTCAGAGGTTAAAAACATTCTGGAGAAAGCCTCTAGTAGGCCTGGCAGCCCAACTGCAGATCCTAATTCCATCCCGCTGGTGCTATGTGCAGATCTTAACTCATTGCCAGATTCAGGTATTTATAACTTCATTTCCTCATTGCTCATTATTTTGCTTTTAGGTCTAGTTGAAGGGCTGAGTACCTCCTAACTTTTGAGTGACAAAATTCTCTTCTAAAATAGAGTGTGTCAGTAAAAAGAACTGAAAATAGGCATTTTTTTATATCCTAACCATTTAATTTAAGGATGGAGAATGGAGTAATTGAGGAGTTTAGTGAAGAAACTATTTCCAAAGGTGTGTGCGGGGTTCAGGGACAAGAAACAATCAGTGATGCAATATTCTGCCTTTTGGGGAATTAGAGCTCCTGTACCTCCTCTAAAGGGAAAGTGGTGGGAGCTGTTACGAGAACGTGGAAAACCTAGTAACAAGGAGAGGGCCACTAATAGGAGCAATAGCTTTGAATTAAGTGACGCGACAAATCCTTAGCAACCCGATAAAGAGGGAGCCAGGGGAGTATACCTTCCTACCTCACTCAGCTCCTGGCCTCTGAACTCCTGCTAGTGCTGCCCATTGAACAAATCCAAATAGAAGCTAGGGGATTGCAACTGATACAAGTGAAGTTCAGCCTCCTGAGGCAGAGTGTGGTGGAAAACGGGTCTGAAAAGTTAAGCAGACAATTTTCAGCACAGGTAGCATCTAGTTTAATAACATTAGCAACTTTTAAGTGAATTCCATAAAATATATTGAATACTGATATTAGGTGCAGAAGAGTGATCAAAATTCTCCTAGGACTCCACATTCTTGAGTTCCACTAAACTGCATTATTTCAGATCTTTGAAAAAAATTAGCTATGTTTTGTAGATATTAAATTTCAAATGTAAAATGTTTAAGTATCACTCTTTTGCCTTTACAAGCACGTGCTAAATTTTGCTTATTTTTAATGTTATTTTAAATTGTTAAAAATAACAATATTAAATAACTCAAAAGGCCAAATTTGAGATATTCATAAAGGTCACAAAGCTGGAACCCATCTCTACTTTATATCCTCAGCAAATAGATGCAAAAATCATCTTTTCACAAACATTGATTCAGCCTCTAGCACTGTTGGGACCTTCCTCAACTGTGTCTTCCTTTTTTAACCCTTTTTTTGAGTTGAATTATACTAGTTCCCCACTATCTCATTTGGTTAGCTTAAGACAATGAGTTGTCATCTGGCAGCACAGAATAGTGAGCTTGATTCTGGAGCCAGACCATTCACGTTGGATTCTGGTTCTACCACGTATGAGTTGTGCAATCAATGACTAAGTTCCTCGTTTTTAATAAGGCGATGATCATTTTTACCTACCTCATAGAGTTGTTTGTGAGGTTTAAGTGTGTGAGCTTTCAGAAAAGTGCCTGTCATGTAGTAAATGCTAGGTAAATGATAGCTGCTTTCACAATACTGATATTGTTTTCATCACTTATTCATTTATGTTGTTGTCATTCCTAATCATAAATAGATGACTAATATTGTTTGTTAATCATCATAGAAGAGTTGTGATTTTTTTCCCCATGTTTACTTATTCAGTAAAAGCATTGTACTTTTTTGAATGTTCCTACTCTCTTCAGCTCCCTTAGACTCATTAATATTTTTGACAAGCTAGCATACCTCTAGCATATAATGTTCTTTATAGTGTCAGACTGAAAAAAAAAAAAAAACTTTAGCTCAAAATGATTTTAACTGAAACTGACATTGAAATTTTAATTTTTTTATTGTGTGCTACATTTTACATATTCTCCAAGTTGTTGATTGGCTGCCAAAAACATAAAAATCGGAAGAGGTAGTTTGCAATAATATTCTAAAAACATTTAGTGTCAAGAGCTTGGTGAATGCCATCATCCTTCACCTAGGGAGCCATCCTTAGCCTGAAGCTATTTCTGGGTGCTCTTGCTACTTTGCTCCGAAATAAGGTAATACTCTTCAATTTTGATTGAACCATATGAAATTTCTGATATTTGAATTTTTTAATAACAAAAGGCAGTCCTATTTACTTTGTCCCAAGGACTTAAAGATCATCATTTTTTTTTTAATTTACCTTTTTTTGTGGCATTATCTCCAAATCATATTGTTTTAATGAAACTACATTTCTCATGGATTTTCAGTTTAATCCCTTAATGCAAGTTGAAGTAAAATTTTGTTGAAAACCAGTTCCTGACTGATTTCTTTTTTAAATTGAGGCAACATTGGTTTATAGCATTGTTTGTGGTTTAGAGGTATAGGAGCCTCTCCTTCAGGTGCTATTATCACACCTCACCCACCACTGAAATGCCCATAGTCCTCCATAATAGTCTGTTGTGCCTCCTCCCCTCTCAACCCTCTCCTCTCCCTCTCTGGTAGCCTCAATTCTACAGTCACATTTTTAGGATTTTTTGCAAAACTCTTTGTTTTATTTCTCTATATGCCACACATGAGACACCATCCAGTGTCAGTCTTTCTCCTTCTGATTTATCTTGCGTGTCGTAATCCCCTCCAGTTCCTTCCATGTTTGCTGCCAGTGGGAGGAGTTCATCATTTAAAAAAAAAAAAAATTGCTGCATAATATTGCATTGTGTGCATATACCACATTCCTCATCCACTCAACTGTATTTGAACACCTATGTTTTTTTCCATAGTTTGGCTATTGTAAATCGTTCTGCAAGTTCTGCACTGAATGTAGAAGTGCATACATCCCTTTGTTTTTTTTTTTTTTTGATGGGATGGTGTTATTTTATTTTATTTTTTTAATCTTAAATTTTATTTTTATATTCCCCCATACAATTGCAAACGCCCCATTCTGACCCCAATCCTTCCCCTCCCGCCCCCAACCCCCCAAAAAGTGTCTCTGGTTCATAATTTTTTGTTGATTTTGATTTTCACTTTCTTATATTCATTTTCCTGGTCCCTTATTTAAGTTTTCTAGACTCCTGCTATGAGTGAGACCATCCGGTATTTTTCTTTTTCTTTTTGGAAATGCAAATCAAAACTACCATGAGATACCATCTCACACCAGTGAGAATGGCACATATTAAAAAAACTAGCAACAACAAATGTTGGCGAGGATGTGGAGAAAAAGGAACTCTTCTGCACTGTTGGTGGGAGTGCAAACTGGTCCAACCACTATGGAGAGCTGTGTGGAGATTTCTGGACCTACTAAACATAGAGCTTCCATATGATCCAGCAATTCCACTCCTAGGTATTTACCCAAAGGACACAGAAACATCAATTCCAAAGAGCACCTGCACCCCTATGTTTATAGCAGCACTGTTTACAATAGCTAAGCTTTGGAAACAACCCAAATGCCCAAAAGTAGATGACTGGATCAAGAAGATGTGGTACATATATACCATGGAATATTACTCAGCATTCAAAAAAGATAAACACATGCAATTTGCAGCAACATGGATGGCGCTGGAAGGGATCATGCTCAGCGAAATAAGCATACATCCCTTTGAATTAGTGTTTTTGTATTCTTTGGGTAGATGTCTAAGAGTAGAATTGCTGGGTCAAATGGCAGATCAATTCTTAATATTTTGATTGACTTTCATACTGTTTTCCATAGGGGCTGGACCAATCTATAAAAAGGCACTTTTGCATAACTCAATCTACCTGGCAACATATTTGAGCCATGAAGTCTTGTATAAAGTCTAAATGCTGTATATTAGTGCTTCCTTCTTTTTTTTACTAGGTGTTGTGGAATATTTAAGCAATGGAGGAGTAGCTGACAACCATAAAGACTTCAAGGAACTAAGGTACAATGAGTGTCTTATGAACTTCAGCTGCAATGGAAAGAATGGAAGCTCAGAAGGGAGAATCACACATGGCTTCCAACTGAAGAGCGCCTATGAAAATAACTTGATGCCTTACACCAATTACACTTTTGATTTCAAAGTGAGTATAGCCTCTGGACTGGTGTAGAAGCTATTTCAAATACTAATGCTTAACTGTATTGTAAATGCAAATATATTATTGATGCTTAATTGTAGGATTTCCAGGAATGTTTACATTCTCAGAATGCCTTGACTAAGTCAGGAGTATGCACATATATGCATAGGAGGTTTGGTTGATTTTGTGGCTTTTGTTGTTGACTTGAGAATTCTTTTGAACCCATATTTTTTTCAAATTTCAAGTAATATTGTTAACAGCAAAAACTTTTAAAATGCTTACTATGTGCCAGGTTCATTATTAGACCACTTTTAAAGTAGTTAATTTTCACTTGTGCATACCATCCCAAACATTCAGAAAGGATCCAAATAAATGCCACCTGATATAGATAACCTCGCTTTGAATGAATTTATATAGTATTTCTTCAGAATTTTCCTAGTACTGCCCATTGATATTTATCTTTTAATTCTACAGTTTTGTTTCGGGGATAAGGATAGAGACAGTTGTATGTGGGATCTGTTTTGTATTCATGTTGTCATCCTAATTTTTTCCCAGGCAATGGGACACTCCAACTTAATAAAGGAAATGGAAGATATTGTTGTAAAATAAGAAAAAAATTAGAGAACTCAGTGCAAAAGATCAGTTGTTCTTTAGAAAGATCTTAGTGCTTTCTTATTTACTGTACTATTTCCTTTTGCCAGATTTCTGATCACTATCTATCTGTAACTCTTCTACTGTATATCTGTTTGATTTTCTGGCATTTCATATACCTATACTTAAATATTACACTATCTTGAAAAATTGCTGATGCTAGAAAGTAGTTTAGTTTAAGAAGCCTAAGGGGAATTTAATAAACTACCAAAAGAAATTCGTGAAATTGGCTCTTACATGTCTCCAATAATCTTTTTCCAATTTCCATGTTTGTTAGCCTCTTTCTGAGAAACTAATAGTAGGGAGAAGAAAGGACATTTGTGTGCTGATATTAGTCAGCTTTTGTAATCATGAAATGGGAAAAAATTGCTTGAAAGAAGTTGAATCTAGTTTCAGTATTTTTTTCTATAAGATTAGGTCATTCTGTCGAGTTTTTGTTCATTTGTTTTAATCACTCATGTAGTGATGTGATGGTAAATATTTAATAATCAACTTTCTGAGAAAAAGAAACTCTTAAGTTGTTGTGTTTGCTAATTTCTGTAGTTTGAATATTCCCACTGTAATGAATTTCAAGCTCCTCTGTAACACAAAAATAGGATTAAGTCCTCAGAAACCCATACTAACAGAGTCTAGCACACCACTTCTCTTTAAAGCTTAAAGGAAAAAATCTGGATTTAATGATATACAGTTTATTGTAGATTAAATCCTATCATTGTGACTATAGTGATAGATAGTCCATCTCTACTAGCACAACCAAAATACCAAAAATAAAATCCCTCAAAATAATTGTTCAGTAATTCTACAACTCTTACTCTTATTTTGGCCTTTGTAGGGTAAAAGACCAAGTCATTTCTACTTCACGTGGATTTTTATAGAGGTTACTTCTTCCTTGTCTGTAAACTAAAAATCAGAGAAATAAAAATGGAATAACAATTAATAGCATCCTTCATGATCACCTGAATTGTTTTAAAGTCCTTTGATGTTTTTTTAAAAGATCTTATACATGTTGCTAATTGAAGCAGAAATTTTATTGAATCTTTACATTATCCAATGAAATGCTAAAATCATTTCTTGATTCTTTGGACTCAGTAGTAGTGACAGTAAGTCCTCCCCTGAATAAAAGTAGGTTCCTTAATTTGTGATAAAGAAGGGTAAAGGTATCTAATGTTAATAAAACTTTCTCCCTTGAAGGAACTATTTTTTAATTTTGGTCTTGATTATGTCAAAATGAGTAAACTTAGGTAATTATTTCAAAAATTCACAATATAATCATTCTTTTTATTATCTCATCCTAATTAAAATATTACTTAGAGTGCATATGTGTAGTTAGTTGTAAATAAGTATTTCCAGGTCTGAAAATATTTCTTATACTTGGACTCCCATTCTTTTGACGTGGATCGGAAAAAACTTGACTTTACTCTCTTGCACACAAGACCTGAAGCAATAAAAACATACTAGCTTTGAAATTTACTCATCAGACAACCCAAGTCATCTAGTTGTGAGAGAGATAACTGATATATGTATGTATCTGCTGGATGTTTTTGATAAGGTATTTCTTGGTATGCAACAAGGAACCCAGAACTTATAGTATACCTGGATTTGTGAAAATGCATATTCTGAACTAAAAAAACAGAACAATTAACTGTATTTAGTGTTTTGTATGTAGCTAGCAAATCTGGGAAAGATGACTAGGATTAGCAAATCTAAAAATATGCTTTACTATGATTTTGTTCAGACATATTTTAATATCTTGATGTGCAATAATTGAAAACAATGCCAATTATCATTAAAATTAATTTAAGTCATACTTTTTCATTTACCTATATATCTGTACAAATTTTTTGCTTATTGTAGCTATTAAAGTGTGCAATTTCTATACTGTTTATACTGATATATTAGAGTTCACTAACCCAAATAAATCAATTTTAAAGATACCCAAACATAGTTTGGTGGTTTAGATTCTCAGTTTTACTTACTACTTATGCACAAATGCAAGACTTTGTTTCCAGTAGGGTACTGTGTTTCCCTATTAATCCACTTTTATTTCATGGAAAATCCATTGAAGACTTGAGCTTTGTTTGACCCATTGTCAAGACTTGGTAACAGAAGTATAGGTTACTCAGTTATTTGACTTTATAAATTATGGATAGTTCTTTATATAATCTGAGGTTGTTGTTTTTTTTTTTTCTCTCTAAAATATCTCTTTCTTTTTTCCCCAACTTTACAGGGTGTGATTGACTACATTTTCTATTCCAAGACTCATATGAACGTGCTTGGTGTCCTGGGGCCTTTAGATCCTCAATGGCTGGTTGAGAACAACATCACTGGGTGTCCACACCCTCACATCCCTTCAGACCACTTCTCACTGTTAACACAACTTGAACTCCACCCTCCACTCCTGCCTCTTGTCAATGGTGTTCACTTGCCTAATCGGAGGTAGTGGAGTATTGCCCCGCAAAGACCGGGGATATGTTGCTATGGACCTGTACAGTTGTAAATCAAAGTATGTAGGAGTGAAGTATGGCCATCCTTAAGCTGCTTCTTCAGGTTCCTTTCATTATGTGTTTGCTATAAGATTTTGTACATTTTTGTGCATATTGGTATCATTTGGCACTAGGGCTAGAACCAAAGTATTTCTCTCTTCCCAAATTTTTAATTTAACATGTTTTTAAATTGGACTTTCTGCATATTGTAAATGGAGTTAGCATTCATAATTGAGAAATCAACAATTTGAAGCCCAACAACAATGTATATGTTTTTCAAAACAAATACTTTCTTTTGAAAGATTGCAAATGAGCCAACCATTTTTGTAAAAGGAAATTTTAAACTATAAATATAAATTTTTAAACTGAATGATGGCATGCTGCACAGGGGAAACTTTCTTGAACTTGTTTTCCATTATAACAAACGGATTTTTAGCTCCCCAAGTCATTTGCACATTAACAAAGCACTTAAATTTCTAGATTTGTACATGTAAACTATGATATAGCCTCTAGCCAGAAAAATTGAGAAATTGAAGATGGTTGCACAATATGCTTTCAAAATCACATATTTAACAGTACATGGCGTTTGTTAGGTGAACACTTGAACACTAGTGTAATTTTTTTTTTTTTTTGAAGGGGGGGAGAAGTCATTTACTTTCGTTTCCCTATTAGTTGTACCCTTATTAGAAGTATTAATTCTAACTGTCTCTCCAATTTATTTATAGGGAAACAGCTGATAATTTCCACTGCCACACATTTTGAAAATAGAATACAGTTTATTTAGTATGCCCACAAAATTAGTGTCCAGTACTTTTCATTATTCCCACCCACCTTTTTCTGGCAGGTTGTGCTGGTGAAACAGATACTATCTGATCTGTTTCATTTTTGCTATGTTTGTCAAATGTTAACTGACTAGGAAATGAAAAGTCCTGATCAAAGTTTTAGAAGGGGGAAACTATACAGACTTTCATTTATTTCCCAAAGTAGTCAAATGTTGGTTGGTTTTGGCTTTTTGAGGTGACAATGGAAAGAATTTGGGGGAGAGAGAACAGGGAGTAGTTGAAACCTTAGATCATTTTTGCTAACTCTAGTTGCCAAATGGCCATTATATGCTTTTAATCTTTGTTTCCATTGTCTGTCAGGGTTGAATTAAGAAGCTACTGGTTTATTCCCAATTGTTGATGCTCTTTAGATATGTTGGAATCCTTTTTTTGCCCAAGAGTGGCCAGTTGAAAATCCATGACTCAAGAGGCAGTGAAAGTAATAATCATTTTCTGGGGGAAAAATTGGTTGGCTACTTGATGTTAATTATGGCAGAGTAACAGGAAAAGGTTGTGTCTGTGTTTTTAAGTTTTTCTTTATTCTGCTTTTTTGCTGCTATAAGAGTTTTCTGAAATTTATATTTTAAACTTTTCATGCACTTTACTGTTTCTAGTCTCAAAATGTGATATTTTTAATAAACAAGAAATTTTCCATTATGTGAATGAAATTTTAAAATAAAAATAGCCTATATTTGTGTCTCAGTAATATATAAAGTACAGGTCAAATTTAAATTATTTAATTAGTTTTAAATATATACAATTTGTCTCCTTTTTCAAACCTGACATCGTAGGCTGTTTTATTAGTCTTAAATGATGTATTTCTTTTGGTCATTTTATACTAATTTCTTCCATAGTAAACTAATCAGGCTATATAAGATAATATTTCCCCTGAAGGGTAATTTTAGTGGGATGAGGGTGGTGGGATGATGTAATATCATATATGGGATTGCATCAGAAGGGTTCTGTAAAGCCTAAACTCCCTTTTAAAAGTGCCTAGTGATAGAGGCATTGTTTGTCATCTATTATAATTGGAATGTCATTGTAGTTGAGTGAAGTTGGATGTAAATAAAATAGTCTTTCAAAAATGGTTGAAGTACCAGAATAAACAAAGAGACAACCTTTAAGATGACAGATTTTCCTCAATGTGCAGGTATCCCTTCTTATATACCTCAAACATTCAACATCTAGCCATGCAAATTGATTACCTGAACATAGTACTGGAAAGTAGAATAGCATGAAAAACTTAATTTTGTGGACATTACCTTTTTTTGTAATTAGCTACTGTATGTTTTATTTTAAATCTTCTGTTTTGGGTGGGTTTTCTGCTCTGGAGGTATATGCACTAACAAAACATTTTCCTCCTTTCATATACGCATGTTAATTAGCAATGTGAGCAATATTTCCTACCATACTTCACTCCCAATATTTTTTGAGATGTTTGTATAAAATGGAATTTAAAGTTCACTTATGATTGTATATGAACCACAGAGGAGCCCATTTATTAATAAAAAAAACTTTTTTAATAGTTAAATGTAGAGGGAAAAATAAAAAAAAAATTGGGAAACATTGTAAACAGCTTAAGTTTATTTTGTGTATGATCGAGGCACTCTGTTGCAGGAAGGTGTGTAATTGGGTTCTCTCTGCTTCCAAATGCACTCTTTCAAACCATTCATTATCCTGTGTATTTTTCATGTGGTTTTAGTAAATGTTGGTAGTAACTCTGTTGAAGTAGGTAATTGTGTTACGGTTTGGGTGGCACACATACTTGGGGCATGGTAACCCAAATTTCATGTGCACGGTTTCCCTTTAGCCTACTGCCCAAATTTCACACACCCTTCACCCTTTGTTCCCTTTGTAAAAGGAGTGGTATCTGTTTTGAGTTGCCAATTCAGATGATCAGAAATGCTGCTCTCCTCAGTATTGTCTTGTTAGAACGCATGCCATTTGGAATTTTGGCAGTAAAAAGCCAAAAGAAAGAGGTGAATGACATAAGGTCTATATATTCAATGAAAGTAAAATATTTATGCTCATATGCTTTCTAGTTCTCAGAATAAGTTAATAAACTTTATGCCATGGGGCTGCTGCTTATTTTATCTGAAGATTAAAGAAAATTTGGGCATTTTTATATTGTGATCATGTGTTTTTTTTAATGTTAAATATGATTTCTGATATTTGTCTAAGAACTGGAGTGTTCTTTAAATTTATTAAACAGTGTTGTTTGAGGAAGGGAAAATTGCACTGTTTGCCATTACAACAGTCATACAAGTGCATGTCAAGTCACCCACTCTCTCAGGCATCAGTATCCGCCTCATAGCTTTACACATTTTGATGGGGAATATTGCAGCATCCTCAGGACTGACATCTGAGAAAGGCTCAAATCCACTTACTGCTCCTTGCTTGTTGACTTTGTTTTAAAATATCGTGCCTGGTGTCAACTTTTAAGCAACAGCACTGCCTAAAAGCAAGCAGAGAACAGAATCCCAGCACCATTCTATAGGCAACTTTTTAGAATTCAGATATAGTAAATCTGTTCAAGATTTATGATGTTTTATGTAAAAAAAAAATTTTGTACAACGTAGCTGAATATTTTTGTTTCATTTCTTTGATGTAAGGCGTGTGAACATTCGTTTGAATATCACATGTTAAAGTCAGGTATGGCACAATGGGTTCTGAGACCAGCTTTTCCCCCCCTCCCATTTGCCTTGTTCTAAGCGCTTTCTTTCAAATTACTTTTCTGATATCCATAGGCAAATATTTAATTTTACTAATAAGCATCCTGTGTGAATGTATTAAAGAAGCCACTGTGTTTTAGTGTTGTAATTTGTAGAAGTATAAAGCTTCATTTCTTATCTGTCCCCCATTATTTGGTGTTTTCAAGCTATATATTAAATTGCAGAGAAGCAAGAAAGTTGAAAGATATCTGAGGCCCATATCACTTGACCCTATCGTGAATTAGAATTGGAGATGTAGCACTAATTAAACAGGAACATGGAATAAACATACTGTGTTCCATTTGAAAATTGTATCTCCTAAGTATGTATATTGTTCAGTGGGTGAAAATTGTATTTACGTTTCCAAGATTTTCTAAAAATTGCTGACGCCATCTATACTTTCAAATCAAATAGCAAAGAGTAGAGAAAGCACAAGAAAAAACAGGTTCAACGTGTATATGTGTTCTTCTTAGAACCAGAGGTATATGGTTCATCATTCTAATACAAGGCTAGATTGTGTCCCAATATTTAATTGTTTTTAAGGTCTTATATCCTAATTTTCTGAGGAATTTTGATAGTTCCGTAAAATATACTGATACTGGTCACAGGATGCATCATAAGTTTCTGGTAGATTTGGCAGCCCGTAAGAATAGTTTTTTTTATAGCAAGCAAGGGGCTTTTAGGGCATGTTTTCAAAACAGCATACGTATATTTTGACAGAAATGTAAATTCTCACTTTTGTAAGATACTCTTTCTCCTACCTTACCTCTCTTTAAAAAAAAAAAAAATCTAATGTGTATTAGATTTGTTTTACCCCTTTCCTTTTGAATCGTATCATATTTGTCAGAACTCTGTGAGCTACAGGTAGACAAACTAGGGATTAGAATATTTTTTGAAGCCAGAAACTTCAACTAAAGTTTTGAATTTGTAGACAGGTAAGAACTTTGACACTTATGGTTGCTTTGGGTGATTTTAAATTTTTAATGACATGATCATCACCAAATTTTAATTCAAACATAAGCAAATTAGTGCATCTTTAACCTGGCTTATTTACTGAAGTTGTAATCTATTTTAAGACCAGGATGCCAAGAATACTTTTCATTTTGCAGAATGATAAGTAAATCTTTGTTGTGTAATGTCACTTAAAACTTAGAAAGTCCCTATGCCATTTCTGCAGGGTTTTCTAAGTAAAAGCCACAAAATGTAGGGAAAAAACAAAAACCCATAATTCTTTTCAGGAAGGGGGTGAGAAAGAACATGCCTGTTTCTTGTTTTAATCAAATTCTACCTTTATGTAAATTTCTCTTAAAGTCTACCTTCATGTAAATTCTTCTGTTAAATTACAAGTCCCACAACAAGAAATGGGGAGATAACAGGAAAAGCAAGCTTTATTAACCTAGTTAGTGTTTTTCTTTGGTTAGATTTTAGTTATTCTTGGAACCAAAGGAAAACAAGCATGTTGAGATTTTATTCAACAAACATTATGACATTGGTAATGGAATGTTTTTTAGTAAAATAGCTTTCACTTTCAAAGCATATGAAATAGGACATTTCCACCTATTTAATGTTAACTTCTTATAGCATTCAGCATAAACTCCTAGTATTGTACTGAAATTAGAAGTGTTAGAAATCAATCACATTACAGAGAGGGTATGCAAATACCAAGTGATATGACACTTTTGGCACTATAATGTGGTACATTCAGCTTCCAGAAACTTTCAGAAGGCATAGTTTTTGTGCCTGCTTGTTATTTTTGTTATAATTCCCCCAAGTTTAGATAATTTTCCTGTTTGTGTGTCTACTACTTTTAACTCTAAAGCATAAGAATTGTGGTAGCACCCTGAGAAATGGTCCTTTTTTGCTCATTTTTGTTTTGTGTTCATTTGTAATTACTGACATGTGACTTTTCTTTCAAGCTATCAATGGTTATATGCACCACAGTTATTTAATAACTTAACACAAATGGCTCAGCATTGACGTGTCAAACAGTGACTTGACTTCTTTCTGAACGGGCTTAGTTTCCTGCTGCTTGTTTCAATCTTGATGCAGTAAGTATGCAGTAGTCTGGATGTGTGTTTATTCAGAAACTGTACTGTCCTTTCTCTGTGCTTAACTTGCTAAAAATATATTCCCTTACCTGTGAAATTTCCTGAGCGGTGCTCTGCCAACTTTTCGGGAGGGAGAGGTTTGGATGGCTGTGTTACTGCACACTGGATCTGGAACTGTTCAGTGTTGTGAGTGGCAAATTTCTTAACACCAGCAGCACTGAGAAGTGCACTATGGGCATTCGTACAGTAGTCCAAATGCAAGCAATTCTTTTGTCTAGGAGAAGCTGAGGAATCGAATTCTTTGGGGTACTTGGAATATTTTCAGGAGGATGAATGTTTCAACTTTGTTTTGTGTTGTTTCTGGAGTGGGATGGTATGGAGGGAGATTTTTTTTTTTTTTTTTTACTTTAAGAGAAAGAGATGGATGTTCCTTTTCTCTCTGAAAAGGCCAGGGTGTTGGTCAAATTCACCGTGGATTAATTTATATCTTCTATTGTGATTTCTTTGAACTATAAAACAAGTGCCAACTAGTTGTACATGAGAGATCTACTCTTCCACTCAATTCACCATTTGACTAGGGAAGGGTTCATTTATTGTCATTACTTGGCATTAAATTAATAATTTATTGTTTTGCATACATTTGAGTCATTCGTGGCCTATAAAGTGTTTTTGTAGCTAATTACAATGGTTGGAAAGCAAAGCACATGAGTTTAAAACTAAGATGTTTTGGTATTTTTTTTCCCCTGAGTACTTGGTAGTTTCTACTGATACTATTCTAAAACTTAATTCTGTCTTAGGTTGTATATTTATTTTGCTTTTGTCCTATGAAAAAGCCAAGTACTAAATCAATTGTTATTGTGTTCTAATAATTAGTTTAAAATCAAATATTATCTTTTTTTTTTTTAATTAGAAAATTTTATGATGTGCCATCTAATTGTAGCTTACAAGTGTTTGATGTTTAACAGACTGGTTCTGTGGTGGTCTAATCATTTAACACTCTGTCATCCCTGGAGAAAGTGGTTCTACTCTTACTGAACACATTCTCTCTGACAAAATCACCAGCTGCTTTATTTTTCTATTTATTACAGTTAAACAGTTGATGAGGTCTGAATCTTGACCAACTGCTCAGCCGAGATGTTTTCACAATAGACACTGTACAAAATGTGCGTGCAAAAGGACACAGTTGGGTATTTTTTCATTAATGTGAACATTGACTTAACAAAGCAGTCCTGCCTTTTAAATCTTGTGGCAGCTCAGAAGGGAGGTGCTTAAGAACCTTAATTACTATGTCAGATGACAAAATACTTTTTTCCATTTCGGAGATTGGGTACTGCTCACACATGATGTATAGGGCTAAATATATGCTTGTTTCCTTGCACCTGTGTACTTCCCCTTCTCTCCCTTTCCTTCCCCTGTAGGCAATAAATGGCCATTTTGCAACTGCATACATTTGTCTTGGTTTTTGACTCTTTATCTGTGAAGAATAGTGTCTGTAGGTCAGCATATCTCTTTAAAATGATGTAAAAAGCCAAGGTAATTCAAGTGTAAAACTCAGTTCATGCTACTTTTTTTCGGTGTGTGCGAAAACTAATTACTATTTAAACATTCTTGGCTTTAACTGGAGAAGAAGTTGGTTATGAGACTACTTTGGCTGAAGAAATCTAAAGCAAAGGGACATGTGCCACTTTTGAGTGGGGCTTTAAGAGCCAATGTGCAATTTGCCATAGTCTCATTTCTTGCCTTGATGAACAAGGAAGTGTATGTTGTGGGATTAGATCCTTGAGTGACTTTGTGAACATAGCTACCCTGCTGACCTATGTAGGACATGTAATGTGAGAACCACCAAATCTGTGTCTTAACACTATAAAGTTATTATGGCATACTCTAGTTCATCCTGAGATGTTACAAGTATCAGACAGATATGCCGACTTACTAGTATTGAGTAATCTCAACAGGTGAACTTGCCAAAATGAAGACAATTCATTCCACATTCAAATAATCTATGATGAACAAGGTGCTGCTGATGGACCCCATTCCCCAAGAATTCACATTCAAAAGCCCCATCTATATATGACATGAGAAAGAAAAATATATTGGAACGCTTTAATCAGAGTAAAGGTATCTTGAATCTTAGAATCTTGGAAAGGGGCTAGGGCAGGGTACACAGTGAAAGCTATGTTTGGGGATATGCAGTTGAAAAATGATGTAAGATATGGTGTGTCTAATATCCTATTATTCTTGGAGAAAATAAAGCAAAAAAAAAAAAGCTGACCTGTCCAACTTAAAGAGTGCTTAAGGAAGGTAACAGTGCATTATTATGGAAAAGATTGCTCATGTTGACAAATTTCATTTCCAGAATGAAAGCTCAGTGTATACTGATTTGTCCTGTCTTCCAAGGATCCAGTGTGAGTCTACCACTCAAGGACTTCTCTTTATAGAGATCTTGATGTTGGCCATCCTCTCGTAAGTTGTCCAAAAGTTGATCCCCTGAAGTGGATCTTGAAGACACCAGGTTTTAGGACCATACCTTAAGATCCCTAAAATAGGGCAATCAAAGCTTTCACCAAATGTCTTCCTAGCATCCCACCACGTGACCTAGAACACACTGGTAAAATGGACATAAAAAATTTAATCTCATGAAATGGTCACCAAAACACCAGGACACGGGCTTGCATGCAAGTAGTTTACTTGGGGGAGTGAATCTCACAAAGTAGGGGACTAGGAAGGGAAAACTAGGGAAGAAGGAAAACTAAACAAGAGTTCATAATTGAACTGATCATCTCTGTGGGGCATATACCTGCCATAGATCTTCTGAGAAGATGAATGCGTGTCAGTTGTCTTCATGAGGGGTAGGAGTGGAGAATATGGGCACCCATCTCCCATAGTGCAAAGGTTACTCCTCAGGTATTTATGTTTCTTCATCTGTCATTCACTAAGCATAGGGCAGGTATCCTATAGAATTGTGGGTAACTGTCTTACCCGCTGCTCCCCTCAGCAGTGTACTTAGGTCCTTCTGCCTGCTCTGCTCCCTGCTCTATCTCTGGTGAATTCTCTCACCCTCCCGCACCTCTGACCTTTACCCCAGTGCTTGTATAAATAAATAAATCTTTAAAAAAAAAATTGTGGATAAATGGGGTAAAAGGTAACAAATAGCAAGAATTGTTACAGTTGCAAGCAAAGTGCTATTAAGTTACACTTTATGTGCTACTGTTGCCAAGAAAATGGTGAAAAAAGGAAGTGAGTTGAGAGACAGAAGCAGAGCACGAAAGGAGTCTGACATGAGTACCATGAGATATGTTTAGAACTGTTAAGCCCATCTCATCACAGCCTCCTAGGTCATGACAGGCCAACAAAAAGTGTTGGATTAGTGGAACAAAGTATAGTCCACTGCTGCAACTGATTCTGGGACTGTGATTAATATTTGTCATCGTCCCTCTCCCAGCAAGCATTTCAGATTTTATCCATGTCGGAGGTCTAGTTTCCTTTAAGGTAGGGTGACTCAGACCTTCACCCAGTAACATGTTTTATGCTTGTTGGGCTGTGGTTGCTGAATTTGCCTACTCACCTCTGGGCACAAAAGAACCAAGAACTTCCCAGAGAATCCCTTGGGTTCTAGACATGCTTCTTCCTGCCTTCCATTGTGTAGAAGCAACCCTGTATGCTTATGCCAATATGATGAATCCTTGATTCTGTGTCTGCATTGTGAGCCTCAAATGACCTTCCTGGGGGCACAGAACACATCTAATGCCTGGACAATGTGTGAGTAGAAAAGCCAAATTTTCGTCCGTCTCAGCAACTCTGAAGGACTATTCCATCTTCAGAATTTCCCAGGGTGTGCTCCAGTCCTCATTTCTTTCACAGGCTTTGATTCTGAGAGCACTCACTAGTAATGTGTCCTCCACACTCAGAGTAAGATTCCCAAGGATCACAGTCTGCCTCACCAAGTTTGAAGAAGTCATGCCAGCAGCATATTAGAAGTGCCTTAAGAGCTTCATGCTAAGACTTTAAATCTTGACTCACTGGGGAGTGCCACTATGTCAATAAATTGTTCCTTTTGCAGTCTTACTCAGTTCTCTCTGTTCCAATACTTTCAATATCCACTAACAAATGTTTCTTTAGGTTTTGGTCATAATGTTAACCCATGTCTTAGAATTCTTTGGGTAAGAAAGCTATTTTCTTCTGGTGTGGGTGCTGTATTCCTTTGCTCAGACCATGTTGTCATAGTTATGTCGGAGGACAGTTACCTTCTGAGGAACTGGCTACAAATGAGAACTTTGCAAGTTATACAGGCAAAGGGAGTTTTTGTTCCTACACCAAGAAAGAGGGCCCTGAGGACTCAAGAATGGGGATTAAAATTTCTCCAAAATTTCTACCCAAATGTCTTCACCCCAGATTTTAGAGTAACTTCATTCCAGGTTTACAATACTTTAAATACACAAAATTGAAAGTATAGAGGTACACTTTGGAGATAGTACAGGTTCAGTTCCAGACCATCAAAACAAAGCAAAAATGAAAATATAGCGAGTTACAATTTCTTTGGTTTCCCAGTACATATAAAAATTACGATTATACTGCAATCTGTTAAGTAGCACTAATTCTAAACAGTGTATGTATATACCTCCATTAAATGGGACATAGAGAGAAAAAATGAGCACTTGATGTTGCTAAAATGGTGCAATAGAATTGTTCCTTGCAGGGTTGTTACAAGCCTTCAATTTACTTTAAAAAAAAAAGCAATTATTTGTGATGTGCAATAAAATGAGGTATGCCTATACTGTTTATGTGCTGCTGCTTCCCACATAAACTGTTGCTTCTCCTCCACCTAAACTTCATGTCTATCACCAAAGAAATTATACCAGCATCATTAACCACCAACAGAGTGATGAAAAAGTGACCCACCTTGTACTTTCTGAGCATAAGCTTTCCCAAGTACACAGCCTGAGAGATCATCCTTGCAGGTAATTTATTTCGGGATATGATCTCAAGACAAATGAGAACTACGAAGAGTCAAACAGGGAGGAAGAACAAATCAATTCAGCAGGGAGTTCTTCAACTGATCACTTCTGTGGGTAGTTGAGTCTTGATCCTTTTAGGGATCCTCTGGGGAGCCTTGTAAAAGTCACCCGAGCATGCCTACCTGAGGACTGGAAAAAGATTTATCTAATGACTCCAAGACCCTCTTCATCAAAGGTGAATTACCTGCATGTTAACTCTTTCATATGTCCAGGCTTAGCTTTTGTCTTCAAATATGATGAGGGATCTTAACCTTCTATTTAAGCAAATCAAGGAAATATTCTTAAAGTTACAGCAGTAAATGAAAAAGTTCTTGTTAAAAGAACATTCCTCTTTTTCTAAACATATTGTATACACTTGTATCCCTTTATTATTTGTAGATCTTGGCAAATGTGTAAAGTAATATAAAAACTATAATTTACTGTTAGAAGATTTAAGATATGCCAGGTACTATTTATATGCATTATGCACATTAACTCATTTCATTTTCACAATAGCCCTCCGAAAAATTTAATTATCTTAATTTCCCAGGTGTGGAAACTGAGGCTCAGATAAGTTAATAACCCAAAAAATTCATGATCTTGGGTATGAGGTGATGCAGGAAACAGTAGTAGGCCTAGGCTGTAGTGCAAGAGACCATTCTAATTGGGCCACGAGACCCTGCAGGCTATGGTGTTAAAGGTCCAGAAGCAAAGAGCAGGGAGGAATACACGTGGCACTCATGGGGACAGTGTGGTGACTCGTGATACTCCCTTCACCCGTTTTGCTGTTATATTGACAAGTGCAAAAATCATGACCTGAAAAGGACATAGTAACCAGATTCTAGGTTACCTGACTAAGATCAGCCATCAAAATCAGCAGAGGTGCTAGCTTGGGGGTGAAGATAGTAGAGGGAGAAGATAGGTATCAATTGTGGCCCTAGGGCAGTTGTAACAGAAATGGCTAATGTTTCCCTTGCAGGAGCAGCAGAGATGCTTTCCACATTCTATGATGGTTTATGTTACACAAAGCTAGTGACTGAGCGGCCCAAGATATAATGCATTGCCCTTATTCCCCGCTTCAGGAATGCAATATTCATTCATCTATGGGAATGGGCTCCCTGCAGAGACTTCCCCTAAGAATTAGCCTAGACTGAGGAGGGGCGACTGACCTGCCCAGGTTATGTCCCGTTCTGGGATGGGATGCCTGTCTGCAGCCAAGAACTGGCAAAGGAATGAGAATTTCAAAATGACATGCCAATAGGAATGACTAAGGCCTTCATTGTGACTGCATTGCTTCTTTACTTCTGAGTTTGATCCTGAGAACTATCCCCACCCCCAGAAGAAAACTTTCCCAAATGCCAATCTCCTCGAATTCTGTTTCCTAAGGTAAATGTATGGTAGGTAATTATACTAGTGCTCCTGGATTCTAAAAATGTTGCTACAGAAAACTATAGTACTTGGTATATAAGATTCCTAGAATGTATATGTATGTATATAAGTGCAGGTGTATTGCGTACATACACATATGTGCATATATACACATGCACACATATACACATACATGCATGTACATATATATTATTTAAGAAAATACCAAGCACTTAAAACTGCAAAACCTATAAATAAGCATGTAGGTCTTATTTTAAAGGTCAATGTGGATTAAATGGTGCAATTTATGGGGATTTGCAATCTTATGTGGATTAAGTTTAAAAGTGTTTATAAAAGGAATTGCATTAAGTTAAGATGCACTTAGAAAAACAGAAACTAGTCCATTTCAATCAAGTTGAGTATAATATAGGTAATTAGTTAAATGGGGGAGGAAAAAATGAAGTCAAACAATGGATGTTGAGGCAAATCAGATATTAGCAACATCCACGAGCCACTGCAACTTTTAAGCCAGCAGAAATCAGGAGACGATTGGGTTATCAGGACTAAATCCATAGCAGAGGCTGCCTCAGGGAGGTGGTATCACAAAGAAAGGGGCTGTCTCTTGGAGTTGGGGATCACAGTAAGAGAAGGACAAGGACCCTGGCTTTCCCTCCCCACTATACTCCAGTTTTCTACCGTGCCATTTGCTGACCCTCAGCCCTGGTGAGTTACTAAAACGTCTGAAAAATGTTGCTACCTCTGATACATTCAGAATAGGGGAAGGGTAGGTAATGCAAGCAGCCAGATCATTAACACACACCACTGTTTTTGCTGCTTAGCTTCTGTTTTCATGATTCCAACCATTTTTTTAAAGAAGAACTTTAGGTAACTCTCCTGTCCACCTGTGACTATGCAGGTATCTCTTTTTACAAACCTATCCCTTTCAGGGGCAGCTCTTCTGTCCACCATGTCTCTGTAAGCAGGCACTTTCCTTTCTGTTTTTATAATAAACCTGCCCTTTTGGATATATATTTAAAAAAAACCCAACAACTTATTTCCATCATCTCTCTTTCTGTGGTAAAAAATACATCACAAAATTTACCATTTTAACCTTTTTAAGTGTTCAGTTCAGTAGTGTTATGTATATTCATGCTGTTATTCAACAGATCTCTAAAACTTTTTCATCTTGCAAAACCAAAAACCCTTTGAACAAAACACCATTTTCTTATTTTTTTTATTTTTTATTTATTTTTTATTTTTTTTTTAAAGATTTTTTTTTTTAATAGAGGCATGTTTTTATTTATTTATTTGTTTGTTTGTTTTGTTTATACATGCACTGGGTACAGTCAGAAGCGCGGGAGGGTGAAAGAATTCACCAGAGCCAGAGCGGGGAGCAGAGCAGGCAGAAGGACCGAAGTACACTGCTGAGGGGAGCAGCGGGCGGCAGGAGAGGTCTGCGCGCCATGTGGGACCCTCCTCCGGTGGCCGGGGAGCAGCCGGGGATCGAACTGGCGCTGCAGAGGTTGCAGGCAGCTTTGCAACCCAGCGCTCAACTGCTGCGCCACCGGGG